CTCAAGGATGATCAAATAAGGCTTCTTTTGGATGAAGTAGAGGGCGATGGTCTTGTTGAAAAAATAGAGCCCCACTTTGGCAAGTCGGGAACAGAAGGTTATCGGTTGCCGGATTTTTCCAAGCCATTTATAAGAGGAAAGCACGATTGGTATTGCTTTCATTGCCATAAGCCAGGAGAAATGCTCAGGTGTTCTGAGTGCTTTCGTTCTTATCATCTTGATTGCGCTCATGAGTTGACCAGGCAATTGAGCCCACCTGGTAAATCAATGCGATCTCCGATTTTGAGTGATGAAGACGGGGCTGATTTTACTTGTCCTGTTTGCTTTGAAAGGCCTAAATGTGGATACTCAAGAAAGCAGATACGAAAATTGCTTGAATTTGCTACTCACCATCTTCGAAAGCAAGCCCTGTGGAAAACATTCATCCAACTTGGCACAAAAGGCGAGATAAATAAAAACGAATATTTGGTCTTTAAATACATAGACCTAGAGTTGTTACAAAGAAAGATGAAAGATGGCAGGTACGCTGCCTTAGAAGAATTCGCAATGGATATTGAACTTCTAGTTCACGATGTTTGCATCCTGTATGGTCCATTTAGTGAACAGGCTGATGAAGCTCGATTCTTTTTGCGTTCAATAAAAAATGAGATTAAAGAAATTCAACTGTGTACTGATTGCTATATTAATGCTAAGGCGAAAGTCACGACTGATTGGATAAGCAAGCCTTGCAAACCACCACATGAACTCATTTGGGCCCGTAATCGTACCTGTGCTGGGGCCGGTTTCTTTGGAAACGCTTCTATTGATCTATACTTCTGGCCTGCGAAGGTACTTTTAGAGCGCGATGATGGTTATGAGGTAAATTTTTTTCAATATACTTTTTCCTTTATTGATTTACCTCTGTGGACATTCGTGAATCACCCGCATTCTATTTTTCTTAGATTCGTTTCTTTGGTGGTACTCATGAACGGCGTTTCATTACAAAAATACATACTAAACCATTTCACTTGCCCGCGGATGAGGTCGGCGTTTTGCGCAAGTCAAATGCTCCGGCCCATCTAACTACTTTGGGTGCGACTGGTGGTTTCGAAAGAGCCTGGATGGAAGTAACACGTCTTCAATCAAATCTTGATAATGGCTACTACACTCATTCATCTGGAGAGTCTGATTTGCCACCCTCAGATGATGATTATTCGGATGAATTATATCTTGTTCCGAGACGGGGCATCTCTTCAAGCTGTATTGGGCATAACAGTAATGCCCATCGATCTAGCAGGGCAGACAGTGTTCATTCCTCCATAAATTCGTTCACTAAATCGGGAGATGGTAGAAAGTAAGTAGTTTTCATTCACTTTAACATATGTATTATTACTTACCTTTTTATTTTGTTCCTTAAAGACGACACAGCTCTTCCAGTAGCCAACATACCTCGGCCAGTGCGACACCTACCGGAGGAAGTGGTCCTTCGCCCATTGGCGCTGCTGCTTTAAGTGTTTTGACATCTAGCAGCTTGATTAACAGTGCGAAATCCCCTACAGGATCTTCGGCCCGTAGAAGAACCTCCCCCACAAAGACACTTAATCGCACAAGCATCGCATCCTCAGTTGGCTCGGGTGTGGGGTCCCACATTATCGGTCCGGCCACTTCGCCCTCCACTATATCTCTTGGTGCTGCTGCACTTGGGTTGCAACTTAATCCCGGCACTCCCGGTGCGGCTGCTTTCTCTGCTTTGGCTGAGACAAAAGCAATCATGGCTGCCGCTAAAGCCGGTTCTCCGATAGCGAATCACCTTAGCTCTCAGGGTCTCTTTGCTTCCACTACTAAGAGCCCCCCTTTTCTTAAGTCTACAATACCGACTCGAGCGCCTGGCCCTCGTGGAGGCAAACGAGGCAGTAAAAGTACGTTAATTCGTTATATTATATATATACTATTATCATTAGCTACTAATTTCAACTAAGTCTTGACTGTCCTGTCGTAAATGAATTTTTTGTTGGGACCAATGCTTATTTTTAATATCGTTTCAATTACTAAACATTAACTGTTTTGGGGAACATTTCTTGTTATTATAGACGTAATCCTCCGTAATCTCCCATAGCTTGTAGGAAATTTATTTTTAATTTTGACTAATTTGTTACTCCGACTATACAGGAAGAACTGCCCAACACGATTACATACTTGTACCTATTATTGCCAGAACTTCGGTTTACCTGACTTAATTTTATATGAGCTCTTTAGTCGGCCTTACTTCTTATTAGGCCTTTTCATTTTATAGCCAATAATTCAATTAAGCCATCTTAACTTTTAGTGGGAAAGTCTACAGCTGATCCAAAGCCGGATAGCAAATCCATATCAAAATCCAAACTTGGATCTGGAAGCAAGAGAGCCGTTAGTGTCAGTTCATCTATTAGCCTGGACCGCAGTCGATCTAGGTCTGCATCAGATTCCTCATCACTGGTTTCTTCTCGCTCTAGATCTAGTTCGGAATATTCTCTCTCTTCTGTAGGGAAGGGCCGAGTTGGTGGTTGCAAAACTGTGCCTCGTGGTGGGCCTAAAATAAAGAACGCACGGGGAATTCGTGCTTCAAATGTCGCCCAAGTAACCAAATCTAAGGCCCTTGCTACTAATAAAACAAAACAGCTCTCTTCTGTCAGTTCCACTAGCCAATCAGACAGCAGTTCTTCACTGGAAGATGAAGTTAATGCAAACGGTCTCAGCGGCAATGAGGCTAATGAAAAGGTTAGTTTTAATCGCCCCATT